CTCTTTAAGTTGCCTCTCAAAGTGCACAAATTGATGCCTTTTAACTTCTACATATTAAAAAAAATCTTCCCGGGGGAGCATCCCCCCGACCCCCCTGAAGAGCGTATTCCGCTCTCCCTCGTAAAAGAATGCCACTTTACCTGCCTAGTATGTCGTGAGCTGATATCGAGCCCATTGTAAACCAGCGCGGCGTGTACTTGTGTTGTGTGGGAGTGCTTTTGTGCGCTGCCTCTATAGTGCCCGTAATAGTGACACTGGATCCGCACCTCAGCCCCCCACTCATAATACCTTCCCGCGACCTCTCATACAACACACACCACTTCACACGAGCCCCATGTGGGTCACCCACCATCATCCAACACCGCTCCATACCCACACAGAACATTTCTTATTCCACTTATGTTGCCAGGATCATGACTTCCTGCAGAAGCGTGCTTAGCTATCTCCAATAAGATCTTCCTGAATATTAAAGGGTAGAAACATTGCCAAAATAAATGCTATTTCCTTTATATCCACTACCCAAGTAATACAGTTAGCGTCTATGTATGCTGTGATGGAGTGCCTTTAGTGAATTCACATGGTTGGCAATAAGTATAGGTTTGGCTTCAAACAGAGGGCAGGTAGGCAGCCGTCCATCCTCTACTTAGTGATGAATTGTGGCGACTTCTAAAGCTGCAGTTTCATATTATGTCCAGGAGTGACCGCTAGTTCCACACAGCCAATGGGGGGCTAAATAATGTGAAAAGTATTCACAACAGCCTGTTCCACATAAGCACATTTTTGCCCCTTAAGCTAAATATGACTTTGCAAACTTTCATTTTTAAATCGCTTCAAAACAATACTAACTTATGAATCATTTTCTATATGTTTGGAGCAAATCTTAGATATAAAAGCAAACAAATAAGGCTTCACCACTTCATTTCTGTTAATATACTATTATGAGATGCGCACTGTATAATGGCCACAGCTGAGCCCTTTAAACCAGAACTGAATCACATCTACTTGCATCAAGGGATCCAAGAATACACAGCACCGTTACAGCTATGATGCTGGGCTTCATGAAGCCTCTCGTCTGCCTCTTTCTCCCTTCTGCTCAAACAGCTTTACTGAACTTGGAGCGTGGTGTGACACGAGGAACTGCAGTATCCACCGTCTATGTATATCACACAGAGCCCAAAAGTTATTGGCTGAACTTCGAGACGTCATAAATACATGCAACACACCAACAGCATAGAATCTACACACATTAAACCCCTTATGCCTAAAGACACAGCATGCATCCTCTATATGTCTATAAACAAAAGCATTCCAAGTATGCTATACGCCTCAGACAACAAAAAATATTACAGCTTGCCTCTGGCCACACACACCAACATCCACACTACTTATTATTCCACTCCAGGAAACCCAAAACACATCTCTTCACGTACCCGTCTTCTCCCTGGAAGGGAGAGCCAGATCCAACACTCAAACATTACAGCACCGAACTATATCATACTCTTGTTTCACTGCCAAACTCTCCATGAAACAACTGTTCAGATAACTACCTCTAACCAATATTTTATACAGAGCAACTACCTAACCTGCCACCATTATCCTCCCCACATGAGGTCAGAGCTAATGGCCAAATTTACCCACAGGCGGTTTTATTACCTCAGGGAGAAAAGGGACAGCGTTTCATGAGAATAGCGGGCGAGGGTGCGGGGAGGGAAGGACAACCGTGTTTCATGAGCTCATTACGGTATATCTGCCAGCTACCTTTAGCCCGAGGGACTGAAAGCCACTCGCCAGCCTCAAAAAGGGAAGTCCTATAATGAACAACGAACAACATGTATGCCAAAATAATCAATCAATGATAAATGAACAACAGATACAGTCTTTAAGAGCCCCTCTGTCCCCACTTTAACGCGCTATAATGCACCTGTTGAACTCGTGTATCAGTATAAAAGCACCTGGGTCCACAACCCAAACAGCTCACACTCAAACCACTATGGCCAAGACCAAAGAGCTGCTCAAAGGACACAGCTGGGGGAAAAAAAAATGCTAAACCGCACCAGCCGGCGAATAATGAATCTGCAATAGGAGCCCAGGGGCTTGTGTGGGGGGGTGAAGAAATCAACTGTGGCGAGCAATTATTAGAAATGCAAGACATATCAGACCACTGATAATTGCTTCCCACAGCTTGATCTCACACCAAGCTGCTTACCTAATGCAGCATTCATCTCCAGCCTTCGTTCAGCTCTACAATTATTTTTTCTGGGCCTGTTGAACCTGTGGTCTGGCCATAGTGAGTTGGACGTGACTGTTGAGGGTTGTGACAGCGTCTTTATTAACTGATACGAGTTCACAACAGGTGCCTATTAATACCGATAACAAGTGCGGAGACAGAGCGCGAGGGCTCTAAAGATACAGTATCTGATGATTCATTACATTGATAATTTATTTTTTTTTGCATACACTTTTGTTCTTCATAATAGGACTCTGCCTTTTGAGGCTGCAGCCAGTGCTTTCGGCTCGCTAAAGGTAGCCAGAAACCGCCACCAATAAACACTCAGCAAACACGTTATCTGCCTCCCACTCTCTATTCTCATGAGAACCGCCTGCTTCCCTTCTCAGAGCTAATTAAAAACGGACTGTCGGCGGCTAAATTAGGCATTACTCTGACCTCATTGGGGACATGAATATATGGCCTGCAGTGTAGTAGTTCTTCTGTTCTAATAACAATTATGGTTACAGGTCAGTTATCTGAACAGTGTTCCATGGAGAGTTTTGGCCCATTAAACAAGGACTGTGATGATAAGTTGATGCCTTGTAAATCATTTGAGGGTGATCTGCCTCTCCCTTCAGCGGGAAAGATGGCATATCGTGAAGAGCAATGTGTTTGCGTTTCCTGGATGGAATAATGTGTGAGGATGTGGGTGGGGCTGCCAGAGCAACCTGTATCTTTTGTTGTCTGGAACGTATACTAAACATTGGAATCTTGTCTCTTATACACATATAGCAGATGCCATCCGGTCTTTACGATTAAGGGGCGTAATGGTGCTGTGAGCTCAATGCATGTTTGGTGTATGCATGTATTTTCGATACTCTGAAGATCCAGCCAACACTTGCCCTCTGTTGTGCTATACATAGACGCCATGGTACATCAAGTTCCCTCGCTGCACACACACGCCTCAATTCGAAACTTGGTGTTGACAGAAGGGAGAAAGACAGCGAGAAGCTCATGAGCCCAGAATCATAGCTGCTAACAGGGGAATGTTATCCATGTTTTGCGGACATCTGATCAAAGTAGATGGATCAGTTTCTGTTAAAGCCTCAGCTGTGCTTCATACATTTCATTTCTCCATACAGTATATTAACAGAAAATGAAGGGTGCATACAATTATGTTTTGGTGTTTTTAATCTAAAAATTTCTCCAAAATAAACTTAAAACAATGAACGCATAAACGATTTGTATGTTTATTAACAGATTAAAATGACAGATTTCAAAGTCATTTATTACTTAGGGCAAAAAATGTGCCTTATGCCTGAAACAAGGCTGTTGTGAATATCTTCACATTTTTATCATGCTGCTGGCACTAGCGCTCACTCTGTTGTACATCAAGACATGCCAGCTTTTCAGAGTTGTCCCACATCATCCTTATAGAGTGGACGCGTGCCCTACTGCCCCTCTGTTGAACGCAAACCTGTATACTATTCCAACCAATGTGGGAATTAACTAAGCCCTCATCACAGCATTACTATACAGCATAACTGTAATTACTGCAGCTAGTGAATAAAGGCAAGTATTCCAGCACTTTATTGTTTGACAAATGATTTTCTACTTTAATATTCCAGGCAAATTCTATGAGATATAAAACCTCTTCTCCAGAGTCCTGGATCCTGGCCAACATAATGCGAAGTGAAAATGTGGTCTGGAGGGGTTGGATGGGCGTGTTGGGATTGATGTGGCGCACACACACAACTGGTGGAATGCGTGTGTGAGTCGGTGTGTGTGTATTTCAGAGGCGCCGGGAAGGTATTTGGATGGTGGGGGCTGCTGAGGCTGCTGGATTCCAGTGAACACTATTACGGGCACTATGAGCCCCGCACAAAAGCAACTCCCCACACCAAACACACAGTACACCCGCGACTTTACAATGAAGCTCTGCATAATCAGCCCTCACGACATATAGGCAGGTCGGTAAAGTGCATTTTACGAGTGGGAGGATCGGACATCACCTCTTCTAGGGGGGGGTCCGGGGGGGGGGATGCACTCCCCGGAAGCATTTTTTTAAATATTGCAGTTAAAAGCATAATCTGCCGCTGCACTTTTGAGAGCAACATAAGAGGATCTATGGAATACATCTCTCAAACCAGAGACACACAACTGTAAGCAAGATGTTCTTTTTCCTTATGGTCATTTTACAAATCAACTCCCCTTCAAACTGTATTCTTGTTACCTGCCCATATAGTTATTTCATAACTGTTTTCCTTATTCTCTTATTGGTTTTATAACTAATGATCCTTATGAAAGTGAGTGTCCGCGGAAATAATGTTTGAATATTTGTGCGACCCTATTAGTGAAATGGTTTAAGCCGTTTGCAGACCCCACTGAGATAACTTATGGGACTAAAGATCTAGTCTGAGAGGGGCTCTCCTCCAGCTTTGTTGTGAACAAACGCCCGTATGTCCGTAGGTGCAGCAGCACGTAATCCAGGATGACTAGACAACACAGGTCTCCTGCCTGGTGGCCACCCGGTCCTCTCTCTCTCGTCGCTCTCTCTCTCTCGCTCTCTCACACTACTACTAATTGCTCTCCTCTACATCATCTATTCATTCACTATATCCTATGTCTTTGATATATTCTTCATATTGCATCTATTCTTTTCCCTATCTCTTATCTTTTTTGCTTTCTGATCTATTCTGATTTACGTCTTGGTGTTAAATTTACTAACTCTTGCTCCTTTTCCTCTCTTTTTGTAGTGTCTGGTATGTAGTTTGTTTTCACTGTTTGGTCAGGTTGTGTCTTTGGTCTATACACATGTTGTTGCGGTTCCCACGGTTTCTCGCCTAGATGCTAGGGGCTGCGCTTTAGAGGCGCCGTTGCTGCGTGCTGCTCCTTTTGGAGTGTTAGGGACAAAGAATAATAATCGAGGAATAAATAGTATTTGTAGGACTATTTATATTCTTGTTGGCATGCTTTGAAAATGTTTTCATTTCTTGTATTTTGAGGTGATACTGTGACACACATAAATAAAAAACAAAACGGTTTTAATTAGGATCAACTAAAATATGCGTCACATCCTGCCTACGGTCCCGCGCGTTGAGCGAACTATGGATAAAATCAAAGAAAAGTACCGGAGCGAACACAGGATTCATTTCTGTGTGGACAGAATGTTATATGCTTTCAAAGCAAACGATACTGGTTTACCGGTATGTTTGATATGTAGAGAGAAGTTGTCAAAGGTGCTGCAGCCTTTACGCATCGAGGAACAACACGGGAGAGGAAGACAGCTGACGATCTTCAGTCATAATTCAATGGGGTATGTAATTTATTTCAGAAAACACTTTTTGTTATATTCCATGGAATGCTCTTAACGTCCCGATAGCAATGAATATATTAAATGCTTTGACAATAAATACATACTAAAATTAATCTCTGGAAGCCGTAGCGCTGTAATAAGCACGACCAATCATTTTAGCCGGCCCGGCTAAAATAACTGGATGGCCTAACTGCCTGTCAGCCTTCGATCTGTGCACAAACTTATCTCGTGGCCTCATTGATGATGCACGTTCGTGTATGTTGGAGGAGGGACTCTGTAAGAAAGTCTGAAGGAAGAGGCATATTTTTTCCGGTTGTGTATTTTCAAATTCTAGCGCACTCAAGCAAACTCTTTTTAGGGTGCAGCTATATGTTTTATTTATTTCAAAGTAGGCCCATTTTAATATTTGTTTTCCCTTCAAATGTGCTCCCAAGGACTCCCCAAGTGCTGTGTTTAATTTATTTTAAGGTAGGCCTGTGTATTATTTTTTAATTCTCCTTATAGGAGTTCTTTGTTTCTTATTAGAGGTTAACACTTTTATATAATGTTGTAAATAGCCTAATAAATGCAAAAAAAACTGTAGTTTTTGTCTGACATAACAATAAATACAACTTTATGAGCTATGAAATATGTTTTGCGGCTCCAGACAAAATTTATTTTTGGAAAAAGGAGCAAAATGGCTCTTTTGGTCAAAAAGGTTGCAGACCCCTGACGTAGGTGAACCATAGGTTCACGGTTCATGTATTATATTATTGAGGTAAAATTGTCCGGGGCTACAGAAAAAACATTCGGGGCAGGCTAAAATATTATTTTACCAACAATGTGGAATTTATTGACTACATATTACACAGATTATGCACAGCGGGAGCAGCAATAACCGTCAAATAATAATTCAGACAGGGGAGCTCCACACCCCCTGCCTGCCGCTAGGGGGTGCTGCAGTGCCCTCAGCACCCCCCTTCCCGCGCCCATGTGTGTATGGAAGATAAAACATGATTACGTTCGCTTTACGGGGAACAGTGGTGTGAGAAAATGCTGCTTTTTGATGACACATTGCTGAATACATTGTTTGACTTGAGTGTTAAATAATTTGTTTTAATAACAATGGTTGACAGTTGTAAAATGTAGTAAAGCACATTTACTACTTGCACTTCACCTGAGTATTTTCTTTTCATGCTACTTCATAGCAATATTGTAATTTGTACTCCATTAGATTGATCTGACATCTTAAGTTAGTTTATAGATTCAGATGATCAAAGTATATACATAAACAAATAATACATATTGAAATATAATAAAAAATTACCACAAAATATGTAAAACGACAACAAAGAAATACACAAAGAGATACACAAAACAACACAAACTAAGCTAAAAAGCTCTAGATTCTGTGTCTTGCTTCTGTGTCGGTGATGGGGCCTTTAGGGAATCTGTTCCCAGGGGCCAATCGTCTTATGATCAGCTTATGCCAACAGCACTTTTTATTTTACAAATATTGTAAAATGGACTTAAAGTGAATGCCTTTAAGTGAAGTGAAGTCTTAAAGTGACTTTAAATGGCTGATGAAGTGAGTGCTGCTTATCTTCATGACTGAACGTGGTTTCAGTTGACTTCGAGGTGTGCCGTAGAGAGAGATATTGCAAACAGATGGACAGATCTTTATACTACAGTGATGCATAGTAACTGTAAGCAGAAGGGGCCACATCAAAGTACTGATCTCCACCCCTTTATCCTCCCTCTCATCTCGCCTACTATCAAACAATCACCCCTTTACCAGCACCCATTCTTCAGACTCACCCGCTTTTCCAAAACAGGTCATCGTAGTTCTTCAACTTGACAATCTCCTGCTGTCTCGGCTTATCCACACCCCATTCCTTTCTCCTTCCCTTACTCCTAGAAGAAAAGAGACAGAGGCGAGGGGATTTGCCTCACGCTAGGTAGCTGTTTTATGTGAAGCATATGAGAGAGGAGAGAAGAAAGGAAAGAGGTTTTTTGGTGAGGCTTGAGAGCCAGGAGCCCACTCGAGGAGCAGTGGGTCTTAGGGCTGGATGATTTGTTTGGAGAAGCCCTCTGCAGCCAAAAGGAGGATTAGCTGCACGCAGGTTCCCATGGAACCATGGCGAGGTGGGGGGGGGGCTCTAGAGGTTACCACACCCTGCATCACTGCACATGCATGCAGGCACATAAGGCGCGTTCACACCGCAGTACTTTTCCCACTTTAGTTCATCAGAACTTAGTTCTTGAGAACTCTTTAGTTCTCATGAAATAAGTACAGATCACGTTCACACCGGAATAAATTCCTGGGGGAGGATTAGGCAAATGAAGCCGCTGACTTCGCTTCTTCTTCTTCTGCTTTGGGTTTACTGGCAGGCCGCAAACAACTTCACGGCGTATACTGCCCCCCAAAGTCTCCGGCCGGAAGTCCCCGGAGTTGGGGACTGGCTTCAGCAGCTTCTACTGAAGCCTTCCGAGTAAATCGCCAGAACGCCGACACCTCATCATCACTCCACCCCTCCCATGTTTTCTTTTGTGTTGCCATTAGTTGGTCTCTCTGCGTTTCTGCGCTGGGCTAATGCTAATGATGCTAATGCGAGGATAATAAAATGGCGGCTTCACAAAACCTTTTAGGAGTTTTACGGGGCCCAGGCAATCAGACATAGGAACATTTTTCTCCCACGAAAGTACAGTTGCTCTCTAGCAGGGACTGAAAACTGATGGAAAAGGGGGTAAAAAGGTTCTCATGAACACATTTTTGTTCCGGCTCTTTTTGGTGTGAACACGACATTTCGGAACTATATCGGAACTAAAGTGGGAAAAGTACTGCGGTGTGAACGCGGCTATGGACACACATGCACAAAATATGCACTTAAAGCAACAAACATGTTGAAGATCATCACAAAGGACGATCCCTCTCTCAAGATGCAATAGGTTAAGTGTGAATAGATTAAATATAATACATTTACAATGACTTAATTCATGTAGATAAATAGTACAAAAGTAATGAATAACTTTATATTTATAATATTCTTCTATATCCTTTCTATCGCTTCCTTGTTCATGTTTTTTGAAACAAGTAACCATGATTTCCTGTTGATGTACCCAGAATAAACCACATCTACAGTACAAGATGAACCGCAGCAAAAACAACTTAAACATCTATGTGTTGCTTTCTGTTCATAGTGAAAATCTGCAGTCACTGCAATTCTTCATACAAAGAAGTTGTTGAGAAACACATCACAACATCCCTGTATGTTCTCCGTCTACACACTTTTGATACATTTCCTTCTCTTCAGGTCTGAAATTTGTATCTTCAATATACCTTATGCTAAAGTGTATTTGCTAACAACAGTCCTAGAGTAAACCCTGCTTTCAGGTTGCAATGTTCTAACTTTGATTGAAACGTTTTTAGACATGTTTCGGTTCAACCGTGTCATGGTTTCTTTCAAGGATAGGTTGTGCTGCTGTTAGTTTGCATTGTTCTGTATTTCCTATTGTTTCTATTATTTTTGATCTACCGGTACTCATTCATATCAACGATTGCTCTGTGTAATGCAACATATTTCAAGGCATCTGCCAGTGCAGGAGGTGTTGATACCTCCATCTGCTGGAGCAGATAAAGAACTGTTTGGAGAGAGAGAACGCTGCCAAGTGACACCATGAGTGGAAGTTCACCATGACTCATTAGACAACACACATCTTGTATTTTACAGTGGTACAAAGTAACTAAGTACATTTACTGAAGTGTTTTTTTTAACATATTTTTACTCAAGTATTTCTATTTATTGTTACTTTATACTTCTACTCCACTGCATTTCAGAGGCAAATATCGTACTTTTTACTCCCCTACATTTATTATTATTTTAACACCCACTTTGTAGATATAAAAACACTTGATATGTTGATATGGTATAATGCAGTACTGTACTACTAATCCACACAGTATTTCAATTTTCATACTGTGAAAAGATCCATTCAGCGCATCAAGTGCTTTTACTTTTGATACTTGAAGTACATTTAGCTGATAATTATTCTGTATCCTGTTCATGTATTATTATTATTATTATTATTAAAATAACGGCCTTTGTGCAGAATTAGTACGTTTACTTTTTGTACTTGAAGTATATTTTGATGCTAATACTTTTGTACTTTTACTTAAAGGTGGGGTAGGTAATTTATTTCAGAAACACTTTTTGTTATATTCCATGGAATTCTCTTAACATCCCGATAGCAATATATAATATAATATAGCAATATGAATATATTAAATGCTTTGACAATAAATACATAAAAAAATGTCATCTGTGGAAGCCGTAGCGCTGTAAAAAGCACGACCAATCATCTGAGCCGGCCCGGCTAAAATAACTGGATTGCCAACCTGCCTGTCAGCCTTCCATCTGTGCACAAACTTATCTCGTGCCCTCATTGGTCATCAACACGGGAAACCTCAACCGGCCCGGACCATGGATGTATAATAAGAACCGGACACGGAAAGGAATGACAGATTGATAGCTTGTGTTGGAGGAGGGGCTCTGTAAGGAAGTCTGAAGGAAGGAGCAGATTTTTTCCGGTTGGGTACTTTCAAATTCTAGCGCACTCGAGCTGGTTTCTCCAAAATTACATACCCCACCTTTAAGTAAAACTTTGAATTTTTTTAACTTTTACTTAATTAAATAAAACATCTGAGTACAAAATAAAGACATTCTTTGCTGAAATGTACTATAGATGTAGATATTGTCAGTACTTTTCCTTTATCATAACTGTTATTGTTGTATATAGGTTTTATTCTATTTTTAAATACCCCAAAACAAGTTGAGTTCGTTGGAGGCCTTCTCTCTTGCGGCTTTCACACCAGCGCTTTTCCCTTTCTAGCTCCGAGCGGGAGCTTTTCCGGTTCAGCTCCGGTTTCCCTTTTCTGCTCCCGCTCTGTTCACACCGCCCAGAGCTGCCGCTGCTGCGTCATGACGTCACCGTTTATGTGCCTGCTTCATAAAATCCAAACCACGCGGAAATCCCTCACATCGAACGGTTTTCCATCGTTGTGAACAAACCAAGAGGCAAACTCTGGGGAAGAGCCGGGACACCAATACGGAAGTGCTACACACTGCAGTTCATATATTGGCTGATAGGCGATGGCTGCAGAAAGGAGCAATTTCCATAGACCCCCATGTTAAAATGCCCAATTTTACAGCATTAAAAAACATGTTTATACCCCTGGCTCCATATATTTTATTATCGATATAGTTCAGGGGTCGGCAACACGCGGCCCACGGGCCGCATGCGGTCCTTTAAACCCTCTGCTCTGGCTCCCTTGAGTTTAGACAAAAATAATAAGGAAATAAAAGTATTTGTAGGACTATTTATATTTTGTTGCATGGTTGAAAATGTTTCATATCTTGTATTTTGAGGTGATACTGTGACACATAAATAAAAAACAAAACGGTTTTAATTAGATCAACTAAAATATGCGTCACATCCTGCTACGGTCCCGCGCGTGAGCGAACTATGGATAAATCAAAGAAAAGTACCGGAGGAACACAGGATTTATTTCTGTGTGGACAGAGTTATATGCTTTCAAAGCAAACGATGCTGGTTTACCGGTATGTTTGATATGTAGAGAGAAGTTGTCAAAGGTGCTGCAGCCTTTACGCATCGAGGAACAACACGGGAGAGGAAGACAGCTGACGATCTTCAGTCATAATTCAATGGGGTATGTAATTTATTTCAGAAAACACTTTTTGTTATATTCCATGGAATGCTCTTAACGTCCCGATAGCAATGAATATATTAAATGCTTTGACAATAAATACATACTAAAATTAATCTCTGGAAGCCGTAGCGCTGTAATAAGCACGACCAATCATTTTAGCCGGCCCGGCTAAAATAACTGGATGGCCTAACTGCCTGTCAGCCTTCGATCTGTGCACAAACTTATCTCGTGGCCTCATTGATGATGCACGTTCGTGTATGTTGGAGGAGGGGCTCTGTAAGAAAGTCTGAAGGAAGAGGCATATTTTTTCCGGTTGTGTATTTTCAAATTCTAGCGCACGCGCACTCAGCAAACTTCTTTTAGCGCGTGCAGCTATACTGGTTTTATTATTTCCAAAGTAGGCCCATTTTAATATTTTTTTTTTCATCTCTCT